TATTAATTTGTAATGACTACAAGTTAAGTTGAACTTATTTATTTACATAAATCTCTTCAATATTTTGTTTATTTTTTTATTGAATGGTAACATAGGGAATCATTTCGCGTTAAATAAAAATACGCGCGAAAATTATGACAGCGACATTTATATGCTCCCTGGCGTCAGTAACAGTTGGCTCTAGACTATAATTCCGAATTCACAACGTGATTATCAAGACTCAGCTTCTATGATTTATTTTTGTACATGAAAATGCGGAAAAATAGTTGAAAACCAAGTAATTTTAATTGATTTCATTATTACATACTTTTTTTGGCAGTTAAAATTCTCTGAATGTAAATAATATTAAGTACTATAACATTGTACTACGATAGGGCGATTTGGAACATCAAAAAAGAAAGAGATGGCATTATACAGTTCATATAGCGTTAATTCTTTCCTATTTTTAGTAAGGAATAGACATTATTGGGAAATCATTCGTTTTTTCAGTCACTTTAGCAATAATACATTACTTGGTTGATAGGTTTTGTCATGGTACGAATATGAGTAACATTATAATGAACTTACTATAAGCTTACATTGAAATAAGATTGTTTTTTGAAAGGTAGGCCCCCTGATTGATGAGGCGCCCGCTTGCGTATGAGAAAGAGACAACAAGAGAGTAAGAGAGTCGCTCTGCTTTGTGATAGCACGTGCCGTGCAAAAGTTCCATGACGTTTGGATCAGATGATAGCGAATCGATGTTTACCGCAACTAAATAAAAAATAAGAATTTAGGAAATATTTTTGCGGTTTTTTTTTTGTGATTAGGGTTCAGGTTCGGATATAGAATAACCTCTGTAAATCAACACATTGTATAAAAAATAAAGAATAATTTCTTACCGAAAAATTATTCCTGTCAACGGCATGGCATAGTTGCGTGTTAGGGTCTAAACCCTTTGGCATGTGACGGTATTGGATGCTCTCGCATTCTCCAGAGCTGGAGAGAGAAATCTGGAATAAAAACACTTCTATATAATATCCTTTTGTCAATAATAATAATCTAATAACGCAACACAACCATAGCCCTAGGGAAACCCTGTATCGCGGGTGCCATGGACACATACATAAACAACCACAAATTACACCCGAACTCACGAGAGAAGTACCTAAATGTAGGCCATACACATATTTCTCCCGGCCTGGGATCGAATCCGGGGACCTCTGCGTGGCAGTCCAAAATGGTAACCGTTCGGAAGCCACTTCTTATTGTTCCTTTGAGACTGGACTGAGTATATTGCATTTGTTATTCTGCTAAAATCTTGTTGCAATGGTCGTTGAGTCTCATTCACAGACATAGGTACGAGTATACCTAAATAGACGCCGCAAGTGTACCTCCTGCGCATGCGCAACGACAGCTGTAAACGCTAGGTTGCCGCTGTTATGGTTCAGAACGCGCCCAGCCGTTATTGTAGTTGAAATATATCATTGTAGTTAAACATCAGTTGAAAACGCGAAAAATGGGCATTGTATCATTAGAAACTACACACGCACCAGGTGACTACAGCACACATGACACAAATGTCGAATTATTGCTGGCTGTCTGAAACCAACCCCTGTCGGTATGCTGTACCCGCTGGCTGGTGTTGCCCCTACGGACGTCTGTAGAGACGTGGTTAGCTCCCTGGAACGCTTAAAAAAAGAGACTGACCCGCGGCACCCATTACTCCATCACGTGCCGGTAATCCAGAGGCTATAGCCATAGCTTCATAAAAGAAGTATACCCTCTGGACGGGAAAACTAAGGGAATAAGTCTCTGGAAGGAGAGATACCCCACGGCGTCACTAATCCCGCTGTCGGAACATCTCCCTCCTCGGCATGATATATCTTGGCAAACTTGGAAGTCCCTAAATAGGCTGCGGACCCAAATCGGCCAAAGCAAGGAGTGCATGTCCGTGTGGTGTCTCTCCCCAGACAATGGCACATCTTTTGTCCGGCCCTGCGTGTCCCTACACCTGCACACGCGAGGACCTGTACAACGCCACTGATAAACAAGCCACAATTGACAAGTCTCATGTGCCTATAATTTCACCAGCACCCTTACCCTTCAAAACCGGAACACAGTAATGCTGACATTACTGCTTGGCGACAGAAACAGGTAAGGTGGCAGTACTACCCTGGACGAACTCTTTCACAAGGAGCTCTACTGCTACTTATATATATTTAGATAACAAGTATGATGTGGTTTTATCCTGGATATGTTAGTCTTGTCTCTAGCGTTGGGATCCAGGCACTTATAAACAATGGTGCCCCACCTTGTAGTACAGACTCCGTCTACCTTCACATAGTCTCCTACAATGACCACAGAAGAAGATATAGCGTGGTCCAATGTTGGTATTACCTTTTGCAAAACAATAGAGTCGAAATCAGTTTTGCTCCAACTCAGGGCATAGGCTTCGTCGTCCTTCACCTGGTCTCCGATATGCAGGCACGCCGGGAATATCTCTTTGCTCAGAGTAAGACTGGAGAAAACAGATAACTATGATAAATAATATTGAGCAAAGATATAATAAATTACAACAGTTGAGATCTAACAAGCAGCTGTTGGACAAATAACCATGTTTCGTTGCCCGCAAGGGAAACTTTTTGACAGTGGAAAGAACACAAATGAGATGGAAATATGACATCAAAAACAGATGGCAGCAACTAGTTACTCTACGCCGTCGAGCACATAACCAGAAATAGAGACGAAATGTCATTTAATTTGTTTGAAAACTATTCTGCCAAATCATTACGGTGCCAACTGCGCTGCGGTTGGCCAACCCAAATTCGAAACAATTGACGGGTGTCCTCAATTGTTTTACTTGAAATATACCAGTTTAACTTGAGCTTTGCTATAATGTACGAAAATTGCAAAATTACATATTTAATATTTAATTACCGATGAAATGTGATTCCGTTTGTTTTTAACCGACTTCAAAAAAGGAGGAGGTTCTCAATTCGACTGTATGTTCTTTTTTTTGTATGTATGTTACACGATAACTCCGGTATTTGTGAACCGATTTTCATGATTCTTTTTTTGTTGGAAAGGGGGTACTTCCATAGTGGTCCCATTTCATTTTGAAGAAAAACATCCACCTCGAAAGATGGCTGCTCACGCATGAAGATTCATTTTTATAAATAGCGCCTAACTTTAATTTAGAAGCAATTACTTTAATGGTTGATTTTGCTATTTCTCCAATTCAAAGCGTTTTTCTCTCAATATACTTTGAGTAGTGGATATTTCAATAAAACTTAGCAAATAGACGTAATTCCACGTACTTTTGTGGACGGTTTTTTTAGTACTCTGTACTGAGATTATGTAATTAGATGTTTTGCTGTTTTCCTCTCACCACCGATGGGGCAGCCCCTATTGTTAGAGATATTTCGTTATTACAATAAATAGTGAATATTTATGGAATATACGGAGACGTACGCACTGTTGTTGGAGCTGTAGGTACTATTTCAGTTTTCTACTTTGTGATTTCTGCGCAAACGTGAGTTGATATTTAAAAGTGATGTAAGGCCCGTTACCTGATGAGTTGCCAGGGATATGGCCCTTATTTCGTCTCTGTTTCAGGTTACAAACACAAACTCGTTGCTCTACGCTTGTTAGTGTTGGAATATATCCGTGATCGAGTGGCTTGTTCACAGGTTTTTATGGGGTCGCAAGCTCCAGCCAGGTCAATGTAGAATTGTAGATGTTTTAAATGAATATTATTTTCACCTGACTAGCTTGGAAAGGCTTTCTTTCTTATTAGAAATCTGCACGCAAAAGCATTTTTTCCACTTTTAGCGTGGAAAAGGTTTTCGAAATTCGAACCTGTACTGTGGCTCATCTATTTCTTTCGATGAAAAAAAAATCAATGACACGTTCGACTACGCGATGTATCGTACACATTGACTTACAAATAAATGGACGACGGGTCTAATACAAAAACCACGAAAAAAATGTCCCAAGTCAAACTATTTAAAAGTAGTGACATGTCAAGGAATATGAAAAAGCTAAAACGTTGGATTTAAATTGTAATGTCATCGCAGTACTGTCTAATTTTGCTTGCTTCGCTGTCAGTCGAACAAACGAAGACTAAAGCGTGAATGACGCTCTGTATACGATTTGAACGCCCTATAAGTTCGGACACTTTTTAGCGCGGACCCGACGTCCATATAATTGTAAGTCAATGGTCGTACAAAACCCGTTGGTACATTTTATTCTTATTATTTGTTGATTTTAAATTCACAACGATAACTAATTTTGTTTATTAAATTACTCTTTGACGTACGAATGAATAAAAGTGATTTGTTATTGTTCAACTGTTTTTCTTTCATCTACCATTTTCCTCGCTATAGTGAGGTGAAAAGTTGTGTGTTTCGCTCGGCAGCAAAGTTGTTTTGCGTGGCTTGAAACCCTCGATATACTCAGGATTCTATTTTTCAGTCTTAGGTTCCTTCAACAACTTTGCAGCCCTGCATAACAAATAACTATTTTAAAATACTCACGGAACCTCCAATTCCAACAAGGCGATATCATTATATTTAATCGGCCACTTGTACGCCGGATGATTGATAATCCTCTTGATGCCATATATCGTCGCATTTCTTGTGTCGGTGCGCTTAAAAACACCCACTAGAACGTGAGTTAGCGGGTCTCTGGAAAGAAAAATTAATATCCCACGTATTCTCAAACGCGCAGTATGGCTCACGCCATAATTGTTCCGTGAAGCTGATCAAAATCTGTAACAGGGCTTCGTCATACGCTCAAGAGTACGCGATAAGAGGGTAAACTGAGTGTACCGACGTCGACACAAGCGCTCATACAAGTTTTTTTTATAATATCAAGCGACGGGACAAACAAGTCGTGCGCCTGATGGTACACGCCAGTCCATAACAAATACAGTGCCACTCAGAGCTTTAAATCGCAAAAATTTTAGTCACTCTGAGACAGAAGTTGACAAGCCTTATGTGCCTGTAATTTCACCAGCTCCCTTACATTAGTAATGCTAACATTATTGCTTGGCGGCAGAAATAGGTAAGGTGGCTGTACTACCCTGGATGAACCCTTTCACAAGGAGCTCTACTGCTGCTAATCAATCGCTTTAGTGCCGAAGGAGGTTTCCCACCACTAAACAGCGCCTGTGACGTCATCGGAGGTACAAAAAATGTGGCACACTTGGTTTTTAGATTTCATACACATCGCGGTACTTACGGCGTCTATTTTTTTTTTATAATGTCAAGTGGAGGGACGGACAAGTGCCTGATGGTAAGCTACACGCCTGTTCATAACAGTTGCAGTGCCACTCAGAGCTTTAAGTCCCAAAGATTTGAAGGGCACTGCCACAGCGCCCGTTACCCTGACTCATAAATGGACAAGTCCTATGTGCCTGTAATTTCACCAGCACCCTTACCCTTCAAAACCTAGTTATATAGTGAATAAGTATTAGCAAATACAGCGTATAAAGTGCAATTATATATTAGAATCATAATATCGTAGATAAGCATAGACAGTCTGCCAAACAGTCTGTTTTTTAAATGTTTGCTTAGAAACGGTGAACGGATCGATATTGTCTTCAAACAAGTTATTGTACAGTCGCGGTAACCGGGTGAGGACCGCATTGGCGGCATAATTCGACGCATCCGAAGAACAGAGTCCGATGTGATTATATAGAGAAAAGAGAATAAGTACGTTGCTAGAATAATTTCCTTATTTAAACTAAGGCCTACGTAAAGGTGTTTTGAGAATTTGTATATCTTAAATATATCTGAAATATTAAATCGAGGAACGGTAGATCTGACATCCACAGCGAAGAAGAACGAACGAAATGTGCTATGTCCTGAGAACAAGTAGTCTTGCACATAGGTCTTTGTTCTACGGATGAGCCGAATTGGTGGAATGTTGTGGTTCCAGCCACTAAACACCCGTTTGGATGGAGAGAGTTTATCGCACGCTTCGTGACGAGAAATCGTACGCGATTATCGCCATCGTATCATAATGTTTACGTTAGCAAAGCAAGAACTAAAATTTCGTCTACGATTATGCCTAGGGTTCGTGCAGCGTGCCGGCGATATTACGCGACTGCGGTCGCACCGATTCGCTGCGACTTATTTAAACATGTAGAACTAAATGGCTAGTGCAGCGTGCCCGCGACCGGCGACCATTGGTCGTGAGACTTGCAGCGATCAGCCGTCGCAAGTCGCTTACGACTACTACTAGATGATCAATTAATGTTCCTATTACGATTAGATTATTACATAAGTAATTAAAATTATAATAATGGACCCAGATAGATTAATTGGTGCAGTTCGTAATTGCCGCAGAATATGAATTGAATGAATACTAAAACTCCTACGTCTTATCCTTCCTATGGCACGGACACGTAAAACAGAATTTTCCAATAAAAAAAGTTCTGATACTATATAGATTTTCCCTGTAGGTCATTGACTTACAATTATATGGACGTCGGGTCCGCGCTAAAAAGTGTCCGAACTTATAGGGCGTTAAAATCGTATACAGAGCGTCATTCACGCTTTAGTCTTCGTTTGTTCGACTGACAGCGAAGCAAGCAAAATTAGACAGTACTGCGATGACATTACAATTTAAATTCAACGTTTTAGCCTTTTCATATTCCTTTACATGTCACTACGTTTAAATAGGTTGACTTGGGACAATTTTTTTCGTGGTTTTTGTATTAGACCCGTCGTCCATTTATTTGTAAGTCAATGCTGTAGGTACAATAATTATTCGAAAATTCGCTAAGCTATCAGTTGGTCGGCGGTTGTGTTACGTCGCTAGTCGCCCGCATGCTGTACACGATTTGCAAGGCGATTCGAAGGAACTTCATAGTCTCATCGACTGTTTACACAGATCAATAATTATGTAGTAAGGAGATTCTTGCTTACGAGTTTTCGACTTGTTGTGAAGATATTATTTATACGAGATGTCAAGAACACGTGTTGCACCAGATACTGGCACGCAAATATTAAAATAAATTGAAGTTAAATAATGTCATAAATTAAAATTATACAATTTGTCAAATAAGCAATGTCATATAGAATCACAGACTATTAGATGAGAATTAAGTAAAAATGCCAATAAATAGCAACAGCAATAAAATCATAAATTAAACAATATCAAAGAAGTAAGAACGGCACAAATATAAACAAAATGTCAATTTCTTTTTAGTATTAGAAAATCTTTGATATCTAATCTTTGATATTTTCAAGTTCATATGATTATCGTACAAATCGGTTTGAACAGTTTTGGGTGCGAGAATTGCCATTCGAGTTCAGTGATTACTGCGGTGATTATATTGACTATGGAATCATTCAAATTTAGAACTGATGTTAATACTAGGTTCGTAACCATTGACTTACAAATAAATGGACGACGGGTCTAATACAAAAACCACGAAAAAAATGTCCCAAGTCAACCTATTTAAACGTAGTGACATGTAAAGGAATATGAAAAGGCTAAAACGTTGAATTTAAATTGTAATGTCATCGCAGTACTGTCTAATTTTGCTTGCTTCGCTGTCATTCGAACAAACGAAGACTAAAGCGTGAATGACGCTCTGTATACGATTTTAACGCCCTATAAGTTCGGACACTTTAGCGCGGACCCTACGTCCATATAACTGTAAGTCAATGTTCGTAACACTCATATTGCACTTTATAGTCAATGACTTTATGGAAATATATTTTTTTAAGTTTTAGATTTCTCAACCCAACATGTTTTTTCGTTCTCATTTCTTTAATTCTTGCAGTCATAATCAACACACCCTCGCGCATTGCACTCATAGTAGCGACTGGCTGGCACAAAAACTCGAAATACTATTTTTGCTTTCAAGTTCTGTTTACACGGATACTTTCAATATTCAAAGCCGAGGTGATTATCGCTCACGTGGTAGGGCGTTAATTGCGAATGTTTAGACGAGGAAGTTTTCATATTCTATCGATAATCGTAACTTCGAGACGAGAATCTCTCTCCATCTTTCTTCTAGTGTTAATAAATTATTCCTGTGACAATCCTCTGTGTAGTTTCATGTCATGACGGAGAACTAGAGTACTAAACTATCACTCCTGCACGTCAGGAACCGACTCGGTAAACGGTAGGCCCGTATAATATTTAATTATTTTTAGAAACTTATTCTTACTTTATTTATTATAATTATGATAAAGATTGAACTCAAAGAAAAATTCCTTCGATCTAGCTGGATTCGAACCAGCTACCTCGTCATACAGTGGCTGACACTCTCCCAACTGAGCTAACGGAACGAACTACCAGACTTTACAAATTTTTCTATGTGTTTGTTTTATATCGTTTTGGATATTAACAGTTCAATGTACCATGTTAGGTCTATTAACTAAAATAACGGACAATGTTTACTCGACATGTTTCGATCCAGGTTCGTCGTCCTTAATTATGGGGTGGGCTTTAATTGGATTAAGCATTGCCAGGGCTTTGGCGCGCAGTTTCCGTCGAGTCACCGCCGCGGAATCTCTATCTAATGTCGATCAAAAATTGGACTTAAATATTATGAGTTATCCGTTATTTTAATAAATACGTCTGGGTGTCACGGTGGTTTTCCATTTAAAACATGTTAGGGGTGTTGCCTTTCAAAAAGGTCTGTTCTCAGTAATATCTAGAATAAACTATTAGGCTGGTTTCACAGTTGTACGTACGGTCCGTACGGACTGTCCCCCTGCGGTCCATCCGCATGCGTAGAATCTGCAGTGCTCTGAATCGAGAATTAAATTTAGTGCGGACATTCACGGGAGACAGTCGGCTACAATTAACGCACGAGTGATTTGTGCGGAGTCCACGCGGAGCGTGTCCCGTACGGAGCATTCCGCGTCACTGTAAAACGATGTTCTAACGTCTCACGTGTTACTTCGCTCCGGTGCTCCGCTCGGACGGTCCGCAGATATATCCGCACTGCTCCGAAACCAGCCTTAAAGATAAAAAAATGGCATACTCTCGTGAGAAAGTACAAACTCCAGCTGTGAGTATGAATTTCTCGCTGATGATGGTCCCTGCGCACACACAACACAGGTGGTCTCTGTCCCCATAGCCTAGCACAGCCTAGAAATAATGGATTAATCAGGATATATACCAACTGTTACATATACGACCGCAGACAACACTGGGACACTTCATCCAATTTTTTTTATAATAAAAAGACAGCCGCAAATTACACACATACTCACAAAAACACACAAATATTTCTCCCGGCCTGAGAATCGAACCGGGGACCTCTGCGTGGCAGTCCGACATGGTAACCGTTCGGCCACGGGGGCAGTTATGATACGAAGCGATAACCACTCACCATATGCGGAGACTTCTCGGCCTCTCCAATGAGTAGAGTACGTCGTCCACAATCGGTGATCACGTCCTTCCACAAATTTCTAAAGTAGGAACTAAATAGCTTTTGGTAATCTTTGCATTCTGAAATTATATAATAATAATCTTAATTAACCTATATTACCTATTAGGGCGCGTTTATACGACACGATTCATCGCGCTCACCCCGCGCGGTCGAAGAGAGGAGTCCGCGGCGGCCGCCGTCCAGCGACCACGTGCACATGTTCAGAGACGTTCGGTCTCTGAACATGTCAGACATGTTCAGAGACCGAACGTCTCTGAACATGTCATGGCATAAAAAAACCGACCTCAAAAGTACGTGGAATTACATCTATTTGCCAAGTTTGTTTGAAATCGGTTACCGGAAAGTACGCAAACCCGGATTCATCCCCTAGTTCGCTACTATACGGGACTTGACACAGGAGATAATAAAAATCGGTTCTCACTACTCAAAGTATATTGAGAGAGAAAAACGCCTTGAATTGGAGAATAGCAATATCAACCATTGAAATAATTGCTCCTTATAATAAAATGTAGGCGTTATTTATAATAATGACTCTTCATGCGAGAACAGCCACCCTTAGAGGTGGATGATTTTCTTCAAAATGAAATGGGACCACTATGGAGGTACCCTCTTTCCAACAAAAGAATAATCATGACAATCGGTTCACGAATACTTCCTCTTTTTTTTGAAGTCGGTTAAAATACGGTCTATTTATTTAGCTTTGAACTGGAAGGCACTAGCTTGTCTTTTGTCTAGCGGAGTCCGCTCTTCGACCGCGCGGCGGCCGCGCGAACACTTTCTCAGTTGCAGTATTCGGAGCAATTTTCTATTTCGGTTCAAAACGTATACCTATAACAATTGCAGAGCCATTGCCACGTACAGGGCCCCAATTCTGCTTGTTTTAAAACCATCTCAGTTGTCTTTCGACTGCCGGATCAAATATTTATTTACAAAGATAACAGTTACATAGTATAAAAATAGATACAGGATGAAACTGGAACAAAAGCATTAGCATTACGTCAATTATGGTCTTAATATGAACGTTTGTTTTAGAGTTATTTTTACCACACACGAAACGTGTGTTTATGTCTTTATGTTTTGCGATAATAAATAAGTCACATTTCCAGAGCAGTATTCTATTCCTGTTTATGCCCATGTTGATATTATTTATTGTTCAGAAATATCTGGAACTGGAAGCGTCTAGAAATTGATGACCAGGACCCCTAGTCTGCCCGTTTTAAATCATTGTGTGTGGATTTTATACGTTTGGTGTTCTGCTAAAAGTTAAGAGTTAGTGGCTTCTCAGTAATTAGCTTCTATTCAATTGGCATTGCAATTTTTTGGTATTCTGTTCTTCAATGGCAAATCGATGGCGTAGTATATTAATATTGCATTTGTTTAGTTTGCAAGATAAAAATTAAAATATGCATAATAATGTCCATAATAGTTTTAGTAAGGCAACATCTGTCGTTAGTGATTAGTCAAAGTCAAGGTCAAATAGTTATTTATTCAATAGGTAAAATTTTGCACTTAAAAACGTAATTTTTAAGCTACTGTACGCTGATCTCCCCGAGAAGAACGAGCAAGAAACTCTAGGGATTGCTCTTTTCAAATAAACTTAAATGCTATTTTGAATCATATTTATGTGGAATCTAGACTCACGTTGTCTTTCCATACATCTTTATCTAACACGTAGTCTCATTGACTTACAAATAAATGGACGACGGGTCTAATACAAAAACCACGAAAAAAATGTCCCAAGTCAACCTATTCGAAATTTAAATTGTTATGTCATCGCAGTATCGCGCTGTCCGTAGAACAAATGAAGACTAAAGCGGAGTGTCGCGCTCTGTATACGATTTTAGCGCCTTACAAGTGCGGACACTTTTTAGCGCGGACCCGACGTCCATATAATTGTAAGTCAATGCGTAGTCTACAATTTTGTAATATGACTTTTCAATTCAAATACTTTTAATATAAGTTTTAAACTTAGGAAATGGTAATCTTAATGATAACTTATCACAAAGTCGAATTTTATTTTGTCCGAAATAACGTTTGTTCGAATTTTCATTACACCGAAAACCGAATTATAACGAAACAGTTGTTATTTCAGGATATTTGTTGAATGTTTATCGCAAAGACACGTTTAGGTTTGGTTTGGTTAAGTTAGGTTTAAAAGAAAAAACATTTTCCTCTCAAAATTACTTTCGAGGTTATAAAAATTCGAGCAAACGTTAAATCTTAATATATGCTCCGGAATCTTATTATAAAAACTTATACAGTTCCCCATGAAAGAATCTTTCACCTTAGTTAAACGAAAACGTGGTACCATGAGTTTGGACTTAGTTCTAAGTCCAAATTCCAGTTCTAATATTATGGATATCTTCTTTCTTAAAGAAATTATGTATATTTTTGTATTTTGAATGAACGAATGCTATCACTGCCATTCCATTGACTTATTGAGACTGTACTGCAATTGCAACTAGATTTTATCAGAATAGCAAATAATAGGGGTTAAAGTATGAAATTGCCGATTTGTACTGAAAATC